ATAAAGACATTAGCACATTAATAAATGTGTCGAAGCTAAACACTCGCGTCCTAATGCATTGGACAACAATAATTCATTCCACATAAGCACATAATCGCATAAGCACCTACGAATTTCATTCCTGGATAATGATAGTCCCAATGCGTTACTATAGTTTCGGTTGGAAGCAGCAGTGATCAAGTGCCTTTCCAACAAGACTACTAGAACTCAAGGGTCCAATCAACATCCTAGAAACTACATTCCATACCCACATAATCACATAAACATGTTATCACATAAGCATATAACGTTACACTAAGTCTCTATCAAACGAGACGAACCCATTGTGATACTAATCACTTCCCACGTACCCAAAGTATTCAAACCCGGTACGCTCTGATACCAAGTTGTAACGCCCTCAAATTAAACCCATAATATACATAACTTTAACATGCATTAATAAAGGAAAACAAATCATTTGAGTTATTCATCAGAGTACTTTTATTGAAAGACATCACATGTAACATCAAAATAAATGCCCTAAGGGTTTACATCTTTCCAAGCTAACACTTGGACACAAAAGAATGAGTACTAACTCATTTACAAGTTAAGCCCTTGGCTTGAATGTTTACATGTAATCTCAAATAAAAACAAACAGCTAAAGACAAGTCTTCAAAATCCAAAAATCGAATCCTTCGAAGCTAAGTCCTTGGAGGTAGCTTATCACCTGAACCTGAAAATGGTGTTCCCATATAGGGTGAGCCACAGCCCAGTAAAAATAGCATGCTTCCTGCACCTGAAAATGATATTCCCATATAGGCTGAGCCACGGCCCAGTAAAAATATACTAAACCAAATATAAGCAATGAATAAAGCGATATCATTCAATAGATGATTAACCTAGATAATCAATTACATCATTAAACTGTCTCATGACACTAATGTCTAAGACACGTTTTACTTTCCAACAATATCAATATGGCTCAGAACCTGGCCAAACTTACAACAGTGAACTATATATATATATCACATTACTTCCAATATCAACAAAACAAATGAGACTCAGGCTCAAATCAAAACACTTCATACTTCCAGATTGATACACATTTTAGTGCTGTATCAATAAAAACACTTCAATATAAATAAGCATTTTAGCCTACTTGCGAGTAGCAAATTCCAAAGCATTTTCAAACCGAACGGATATGCAATGTTTATTTCCAAATTAGGCAATCTAGTCTATATTTGTTTGTTGTGCGCATAACATAGTAATTCTAGGCTAATAATTGGAATAAGAACACATAACGTTTTCCAAATCGGATATCATGGTTAGTAGAGGCCGGTCTTCGGACCGGGCGAAAGGGGGTGCTCATAGCTGACCTTCCCCGATCGTACCCAAGCTCCCGAGCCGAGACAACTCCGGTGATGACGGACATGTGGCCTTTGGCACCGAGTCAGGGTTTCCTAAATTTCCCCATTTTAAAAATATTTAGGTGGTGACTCTATATCTGGCAAAGCAGTCCATGTTTGGCACTACTTTTTCAAAAAAAATCTGTTTCTCAGAACGATTTGCCAGATTTGGACTCTTTGGTTCAGATTAAGAACCAATACACAAATCGAGTCCGAACTGTAGCGGGGTCCCCCGGCGGACTTGTTACACTATGTCAAAACCCATAGAAATGAGTAAGTTATTCCTACCTCAAGAGAAAAGACCCAATGGAGAAGATGAAGAAAACTCGAGATGCTTCAAACCCAAAGATTTTTGGATCAAAACAAAGGCCAAGCCAAGCTTCACACTTTTTACAAAGGAACTAGGGTAGGAGACCACTAGAACTAGATGGATTTGTAGAGAGAATTTGTATGGTAGTGAGAGAAGCTCTCAAATTAGGTTTTGGGAAAGTTAGAGAGAGAGAGAGAGAGAATGCCGAAAAAGTGATCCAAAAAGCTGTTTTCGGACTGATATACAAGCAGGTCCGCTCGAGCGTGGAACGCCCCGCTCGAGCGTCAGACACAAACTCACGCTGAAGCGTGAAAAGCGCCGCTCGAGCGTCGAATGCACACTTCCAGAAGTTTTGCAGACAAAGGTCCCCACTCGAGCGCAAAAGTGGACGCTCGAGCGTCCGATAACCTGTAGAACAAAATACTGAGAGATGAAAAATCTCGTTCGAGCGTCAAACTCCCTGCTCGAGCGGAGGAACAAAATCAAAGGGCCCGCTCGAGCGTCAAAATCCCTGCTCGAGCGTGAAGGCCAAAATCTGGGCAACTACTCTTGGTTTCTAAGTCCAACCAACCTGTAACAAACTCACCCAACACAACCCAAGACTTGAATGCAAGGAGTAAAGGATGTAAACAAGCTATACACGACAACCAACTCCACGGAACCTAAGTCCGGATACAACAATTAAAGAAAAGGGAAACCGGGATCGCTATAACCTCCCCCCTTTAAAGAATTTCGTCCTCGAAATTAAACACAAGTTTTCAAAAAAAACAGGTTTTCTTCATTCTCAACAATATTATAACATAATATTAAACAACCCGACCCATTACCGGTCAATTCCCTCTCTTTTCAAGAAGCATTTCACAACACATATCACAAGTGCATTATCAACATGCAATTTTTGTCCATTTTCAACCATTTCCAACATGCATGGTTCACAGTTCATATCATAATCAATGTACATGATACAATTCCAGTTCTACAATATAGCCAACATATGCA